ATTTTCCTAAAACCTGGGTTGTTCTTCTGACTGACTGGCTTTGGCACAATGATTGAATGCTTTTTCTGGGGCTCTGCCACCAGAAGCTCTGGGAGGGTCACCTCTCTGATTCCTGCCAGGCTTAGACTGCTCATCTGGCAGCATGAGACACACAGGAAAAGGTTCTGGGCATCCAAGCCGAAGCCTTTCTAGACCAGAGAGCTCCAGCTGATGGGTTTGTAGACTACACATACATATCCTTGAGCCAGCTGAGCCCTTCTCCATGTCAGCAGAAGCGCTGACAGGCTGACTCGTGAGAAACAAGTAAATTAGGTTTTAAGCTGCAAATTTTGAAGTGTTTTTTCATGTATCAACAGTTAAGAGATGCCGTACAAAATTCATTTTCCTTCCAGTTAGAAGTCAAAGGAAAAACATGGTTTCAATTGGACTTAGATTCAATCAGATTCCACTTAGATTTATTGTTTCCTAGACCTGCCGAACAGCTGTCTGCTTGGGATCTCCCTTTATTATTTTAGGAATTCCCATTATTTTGTTTTCTGAAACTCATGGCTTCCCCTTTCATGGTAACTCCCTTGTTTGGTGAAGTATTTGGTCCAGTGGGAGTTGCCTGATGAGGGGAGATTGGGTTTAAGACTACGCATATCTGACATATTTTCATTCCATCCTTGTTCTTCATTTGTGGTTTAGCTAAGATGATCTACCTTGAAAACAATTCCCGCTGGCCTTTGAAGGCACCCTTGCTAGCCATCTCTCTTCCAATGAGGAAATAGAAGAGTGACTCTATTCTGATTATTGAACCTCCATACGATGCCTATTTTCCTTTCCTAGGAACATACAGATTCATCTCTTTGTTCCACATGTTCTATATTTTTATGGTGCTATGCCTTAGCGTGTGGGGCTGTTTTCATCCATTGTAGTAAGCACTCAATCCTTAATCAAAAGATTCATGTTCTTAAATTCTGGAAATTTTTCTTGATTTACTTCTTGAATGACTTCTTCCTCTATTTTCTCCTTCTGCATCTTGTACTTTTGCATGTTTAGATTTCCTGTAGTGGATCTCAATCTTTTTCATGTATTCCCTTCATTTCTGTTTCTGTTTGTTTGTCTTTGCTCTGTTTTTAAAGGTTATTTCTTTTACTTTATCTTCCAGGCCTTCTGTTGAGTTTATTTTCAAATCTATGCCTTCACTTTTACATCTTCAAAAGCTCCTTTTTACTGTGTGGCCTGCATGTTCCTTGCTGTTTGAGCGTGGTTTTCTCCTTTCAGAGATACACTGTCTCCTCCTACTCTACTGTTAATGATCCTTTTTAAAAGGAGTTTCTTTTTCCATCTCTGACTCTTCACTGTTGTTTGTCTATATTTTCTACAGCCACTGCCTGTAATACTAGGTGTTTCCTGCAAGTTTCCAGTGTCCCTACATCTCACCCCTGCATGACTTGAGTTACATACAGCAGGCTGAGGGTACTGCATGCCTAGTGGGGCTTGAGATGCGATCTTTGCTGCAGACTGTTTTGCTTGTCCATTTCCTTGGGGCACTGCCATTTTGGTATCTATGGGCTTTTTTGCTCAGGCTTAGCAAATCCCTCAGACAGACTGAGCTTCTCCCTGGAAATAGGCCAGGCTGTCAGTGTGCTGGGAGCCAAAGCAAAGAGGAAGACCTGGAGCGTCAACATTCCCTAAGGGCGGGCTCAGTTTTTCAGCCTGGAGATTCAGCAGTGTTTATCCTGCTGCCCCTCAGCCAGACTTTCTTTTTTTTTTTTTTTTTTTCTTCTTAGTGGTTAATTACTGTACAAGATGCGGACTTGTGATCCTATTTACAAACACCATTAGAACAAATCATTCTGTTCATTAAGAGAATGCAACTATATATCTATCCTAACCACTTTGAATACACAGATACAAAATGGACATTCATCGGTATACCCCATTTTTTCTAAGTTCCGTTATTGAATATTTAGGTGTGTAAACTCAGCAAAATATTCTAAAAGAGTCCAGTAGCCCATAATAGCATTGGGTCTTCTGTTTAACTGGAAATGTCAGAAATTATTGACCTGAGTCCCCCACAGCTCAACATAACAGCATAGCTTTCCTTTCTATATTTCATCTTCATACTTTTCTACTGGATGGTTAAGACCAAGGTAAAGCAGGACCTGTGCAACAAGAGTTGTAGCTTTTGGGTCTGAGAAGGTCAGTGAAATGCCCTCAGGATTTATCCTGAGATCCTGTACCTCAGATTGTAGAACCTTTGTCAGTGTAGCCATGTGGATGAGTCACGGCCATCAACCAGACTTTCTGATTTGCCCTCTCTGGAGAATCACTGTCTGACCTTCTGCTGGGATTGAGAAAATATGGCTGTGCAGTGTATGGAAGAGGGCTGGGTTCTGACTGCTTCTTAAATGCACTTTAAGCCTCTTTCTAATCCAATCCCACCTTTGCCATCACTTCCAGAGTAGATAATCCTGCCAATCCTGTGCATTTGGGGGATTCTGCCGCATAAATATGGTTATTTCACAACTTTTCCTCTTGCTGATTTAGGGGTCAGCTCTTCCACTTTTAATCAATTACCAAGTGACCAACACCTTCCCACTTCAAGTTGTTATTGCTACCATCTCTTCTTCCAGTATCTTCTACTTGCTTCATTCCTTTTGGGAGTATGTCTTCACTGTCTTTTTACAGGACTGCATGAAGGAATGGAAGGGAGGATGTCCACACTTCTCTCTTTAGCTGGGAATCCTACAATAGGTTTTGGCTTTTAAAGATGTAGAACTTCACAATGTCTCAGTTTAAAAACTGGGGATCACACATTGCCTTTGAAAGGATGAAACTCTCTTCAACACAAGACTTCACGTGATGCAATGGAGTATTACTCAGCTATAAAGAAAGACAAACTCCAAGCCTTCATTGGTAAGTGGATGCAAATAGAGGCTGTGCTCATAAGTGAAATAAACCAGACTCACATGTGTAAATATCATCTTGTCTCCCTAGTGTAAGAACCCAAAAGAAGAAATAAAACCTGAAAGGTATAACAGATTCACTTAAATGGTAAAAAACAGAATTTAAGCATTAACCAATGAAGAGGAGAGAAAGGCGAAAGATAGGAAATAAGATGGGGGAAAACCATGCAAGTATATATACAGGATGGCTGAGGTGATTGTACTAAGAATTTCCATCAGTTTTTTTTAAATAGCATTTGATGTGTAGAATTCTCACCTTGACTAACTCTGTATGCAGATAACTGTGATCTAAACAACTACACTGAGGACACCAGTGTGTAATACAAAAGCCATACTTGAAATGCCTGTCATCTTCGTCTTCTAACTGTGTACCATTTCTAATGTCATACCAATTATTTCTATACTCTCTTTAAAATATTTTTTTTAGAAAAAGGTAATAAAAGAAAAAGAAGCAAGCACAAAAATTTAAGATTTCTTGAAAACATGGGGTAATATTCAATCAGATGCCCAATCTTGCATAACTATATCTGCTAATCTGAGCAAGATTTGAGCATAAAAATAGGTAGTATATTGATCATTGGTAATCAGCTATTCTTGTTTTGAAAATCTGTGACATATGTGTTATTGTATGTTACCTTGTATGTCTTTGCTTTTTTCTTGCTTTTATTTTTACTCTTCAAAATAAAAGAAAATTATAACAATAAAAAAGACTTCAAGTGATGGAGACCCATGTGATATTTCCCTTAGAACAGTAAGTGGGAGGTTTCAGTCACCCACTAATAAGTTTGTGTCCTTATTACCCAGACATCTGGGTAATTCAGGTGTGGCACTTCCCAGCCTCCATTCCACCTTAAATTAGAGACTCTTGAGTCCATTTCATTTAGTTTTTTAATGTTAGCCTTTTAATACTTTCCAATAAGGACTTTCAACTTGGCAATACACATACCATGCTTTCATCAATAAATATACAAAAACCAGAGGGAGGATATACTCTGAAAAGTCAAAGTAAAAATAGGAATGGATAGGAATGGTCATTGTATGTACATGAACAATTGGCTAGTTTTTGAAAACTAAACACAAAGGAATTACAAACAGACACACCTACAACATAAAACCAAATGGATCATGTTATTTGTTTGGTTTTTTTTTTTTTTTTTTGGTATTGAGTCCAGGACCTTTGGATTGAGCTATTTTTTTTTTTTTTTTTTTAACTGGGTATTGAGTCCAGGACCTTTGGATTGAGCTATATTCCTAGCCCCTCTCCTATTTTTTTTTTTTCTTTTTGGTTTGGAGACAGAGTCTTGCTAAGTGAAGCGTCTGAATTGCTCAGGCTAGGCTCAAGCCCAGCCTCTGCTTCCCAGAGTGGTGGGATTACAGGTGTGCACCACCTTCCTCTTTGTAAGTATATTTTATTCTTCCAGAGAAGTTGGATATTTCTGCCACTCTGTGGTAACAGGATTAAATAAAAATTGGCTACAAAATTAGTTCTTGGTGTTATGGATCTCAATGTAAAACTTTTTTTCCCCAGTGAAAAGCTTTCTGAGAGGTTCCGTTGGAAAAAATCCATTTTATCAGGCTAGAACCTGCAAAATATAATCTCAAAAGTGTCTTTGGCATCCTTTGAATTTTTACCCAGAGTTAATTTAAAGAAGGCCCTCAGGAGACACGAAGGATTTACAGTTGCAGAAAAGATTGTATCTTAGACTGTCAGGTTGATTTGCAAAATCAATGCTGGCCTCTTATTTTTCTAAACAAGGCCCTATTTAATGAGTTGGCCCCAGTCACCTGACAAGTCACTGGCAGGAAAGACACATAGTCATATTGTCCTTCCAGTGTCATACCTACCATGTCAAGTCATCTCCTGCCCCAGCCTATATTGGTAGGGAATGTCTAGAGTAGGTGGGAAATCATCTCTATGTATAACACTTGTGTGACTCTCCACGTGCCACAAGGCAATCTGAGAGACAAAGAGAGCCAACGCCTGCAACACAGGGGGCATTTGAATATCAGTGGCAGTAGCAACTCAGAGTGGTCTGATCTCCTTTGTTTTTTTTCAACTTAGAAAGGACAAGGGAAAAGGAAACCTAGCAGTTGACAATAGAGCTGGTCAATAATATTCACAGAAGAAGAGAAAGGAGTTTGTTAAAGATCACAGCAGGGGTGGAGAAAGTGAGCAGGCGTAAGGCAGTGGAAGGACCAGAGGTTTGAAATGAGCATGAAAGGCTTGAGCCTCTCTTTAGATATATCCTTGGGGTTGACTCTGTGCCATACCCGCATTGGTCTAGATGAGCTTTTTCTTCCTTTTCATTATTTAAGTTATACCCGCAATTGAGGATATCAGTTTAGGCAACAAGTGGCTTTTCTGGATGTGGGAGGAAAAAATCAGATCCCAGCCGATAGAGCCTCTTACTATATAGTCTCAAGCTCTATGATCATAAGCAGTTTTGGGGAGTTCCAGGACCAAGGGGACCACCCTGACTGATGAAGAGATGTCACAGACAACTTGTCAAGAGGGGAGAAAGATAAGGTCAGAGGAAAAAGCTGTTATTCACTCCCTTTGCCATAAATGTGCTCAAGTTGTGATAATATTTCTAATGGTGGGAAGCCTTGAACCTTGGGATTCCCCACATGCTTAACTCATCTGGAGGGCTAACTGCAGACAGACAACTGGCATGTGAAAGTATAAACAAATACAGACATAAAAATAGTCAAGCAGGATTTACACAGCCTTCCACCTCACCAGTCTATGCCAATCAGTTGGCCCCAGACTGCTTTTTTATTTCTGTTGCCTCTCTTTGTATTACAAGATGTCCAAGGCACTTCCATATCGCGTTTTGGAAATCACTACGAGAATCAGCATCTGTAAAATGGGACTCCATAAATGAAGGGTCATGCAAGTTAACTGTGACTTTTCAAAGCCCTCAGGGGAGAGAAAAGCAGCCAGGAAAACACACAAAAATGGCAGAAGGTCTTGTGCTTACAACTTTGATTCCAGAAGAGGAGAGAAAGCCTTTGGCCATCCTTGGAAATGAAATAGCACAATCCTCCTTGGTCTTCTGGGCAGGTTAGCAGAGTGGGGGCAAAGGGGCTATGAGATGAATGAGCTTAAGGAGAACCATTCTTGGATCTTCCTGGAGAGCTATAGAGACTTGGACCTTGCATTTTGGGAAGTGAAGGATCACAGCACAAGGGGTTAAAATGGAAAAAGTACAGATGTTTATTGTGAATTAGCTTAAACCCTTTTATTCCTCTGACAAAGAAGGCTGGAAAAGAATCATACTGCTCAAAGGACCTTCTGGGTTTAATATTTCAAAAATACACATAAATAGCTTACTACAGATAAATAGCTGCACCCTTTGGGAAACTTAACAATTTCCAGGGAGCCTGCAAAAGGGGATGTACAATGAGTACACCCCAAGCCCCTACCCAAGTGGAGACCAATGACCTAGGATTAGGCTCTGGAGAGGGAACATGGACCCATTCAAATTTCCTCCCAGAAAACAATCCTTCCTGGCTTCAGAGAATGAGCCATTACCGGGCAGGTGGGGTGTGGCGGTTTGAGTACCAAGAACATGTACTTGTGACATTTAGAAGCCATCCATAGCATACCAAACCCAGGGGATAAAAGACCTCTAGGTGGAAACTGGAACTATCAAATTCTTTCCGATTATTAGTTGGGTTCTCCTTGCAGAAAGCAATGCTGTTTTTATCAACTGGACCTGACTTTAAAATTTAAAAAAAAACACAAAAACAAAAAGGAGTAGAAAATTTTATGCTAAAAAAATGATCCCCAATAAAACAATCAGTAGCACATTGCATCTGTTCAGTCCCAGCTCCCTGTAATGGTCGTATCGCAACTGTGGTTATTTTTTTCCAAGATAATGGTGGAGATCTCACACCCCGATTTTCATGTCCACGTTTTGCAGGTTCCGTGTCTCATCAGCTGTCATAAACTGGTCTGGGGTCTCTGACGGTTCCTTATTCACCAAATGTACCATTTCCTGAGACTTGCTGGCCTCCCCGTTGATTCCACTCGGCTTTCTGTCCTCCACTTTTCCATTACCATTGTTGATCACCAGCTTCTTCTTCTGTCCACACCTAAGAATTTTAAAAGAATTACGTTAGGAAGGGTGCATCGACAGTGGCCGTCTTCATTGTTGATCACTGGTTGCCATGGTTACAACTACACTTTTTGAGAGTCCTGATACATGCCAAATGCTCAACTGTTCAGTACCCTTACTACTTTATCTTGTTGAATCCTAGCAATCAATATTTATCAAAGTGAGGTCCCTTGACCTGCAGCAAAAGTATAACCTGTGATCTTGTAGGGAATGCAAATTCTCAATCCCACCCCAGATCCTGTGAGTCAGAAAACTGCAGCCAGGGGCCCAGCATTTGAGGTTTATGAAGTCCTCGGGGGACTACTGATGCACAGATGTGTGCAGATATGAGAATCAATGTGCTCAACTCTGGGAATCCAGTGCTACTACTGTGATCCCCTCCTATAGTCAAAAAGACCATGAGCGTCTGAGATTTCATGATCTTCCTCGTGTTACAAGCAGTCGGAATCAGTATTCAAACTGCTCTGATTCCAAGCTCTAATTCCCTTTCCATAGCACTGCCCGATGGCAGTGTGTGCCTCCTCTAAGCATTTCAGCTGTTCCTGAAAACTTAGGTAAACCATCCAAATGATCACAGTAAATTATTCTGATCTGCATAGACAAGAAAGCCTACCATATCCTTTTGCCACCAACATGTTGTTGGCTTTGTCAGTGTTATTACTACACACACAGAAAAGAAACAAGTGACATGGTTCTAGAAGCATAAGGTCATTGACTTTTCCCTAACCTTGGTTGATTTTTATATATCCTTGGATGTAGAAAACTGAACAACCTAAGACACATTATTCACTACTACTTTAGGTTTCTCAAGAACTACTTGAGATTCAAAAGCAGAAGAAGCTCTTCTGTGTAAGAGTATGACCTTGATCTTATCCTTGAGAACTGCCAGGCCATTGCCTCATACTTTCCACCCTGATGCGATGCTTCCTCTTCCTTGTAACATAATCGTGTCCATGCATATAGCAGTTAGATAGTGATGAGCAGAAAGAAAGACTCACACTCACAGCTTTATAGCAACAAGTAAAGTATTTTCTACCATCTAGTAAATACTTCCTGCATACAAGACTTTTTAAAAAATGTATTTAATAAAGAGTCTACAGGGTCTCATTACACAGATTGGACTCGTAGTGATCCTCCTGTTTTCAGCCTCCCAAGCACTGGGATTACAAGCATGCGCCACCACGCCCAGTCTCAATTGCCTTCTCAGCATGCCCTGGGGGCAGGGCCAGCTCAGTATGCTGGGATCGAACCGCAGTTCCTGCACCTGGCTAAGCAGGCGTGTTAGTTCACTGAGCTATCTGGCCAGCCCTCACGCATGTTAAAAGTAATTTTCTGAAATCTTTACAATAACCTCGTGAAGCAGCTTTTTTCCCCATTATACTCCAGTAGAAGCTGAGGCCCAGAGAAGTTTAGTAACTTGTTTGAGGTCATATAAAGGGAAAGACTGACAATATTCAAATCTAGACCTTTATGAGGAAAGGCCAGGCTCTGCCTGGTTCTGTGAATGCTGTCAACCATCTAGAGATTCGGAAACAGTGTGAAGTCAGAATTGTTCACTTTGCCACTGGATGTTTGGAGTTGCAGAGACAAAGCTTCTATTATTTATAATCATGGGCCACTCCTTGTAGCCATAAACTTTAATCTCTTGTTTGGGGAAACAAATCATACCTCCCCAGCAGGAGGCAGGCCCCATTATCCTCTGGCAGGAGGCTTTCCGAAGGGTGGAGGGGAAGATGCTTGAATGTGATTTATGGGGGCTGGAGGCCACACAGACAGTAGGGTGCACGGTCAAGAGCACAGCCCTGCAGGTTTGGTTTTGAGAGGTCAGAGTCATGTGACTGGAAGCAACTCCCTTAACTTCTCTGAGCCTCTGTCTTTCTACCTATAAAATCTGGTTGTTAAGAGCTTCAGCCTCAAAGAATGGTGAAAATCCCTTGACACAGAACCTGGAATTCAATGTGTAAATGAATCTACCATTATTATTGGTTGCTCTTAATAACAGTGTGAGTTGAAAAGTCTAAGACTTTAAATATGCAAATAAGACAGTGTCTGGGGCTGGGGAGGTACCGTGGCAGTCTAAGCACCCAAGGACCTGGGTTTGATCCCTGGTACTGGATGCCGTGCTAGTCCCAGAACCCAGGGCCTGGCATGCCAGCCACCAAAACCAGGTGTGGTGGTACACACCTATAATCCTAGCTCTGGGGAGTCTGAGACAGGAGGATCACTATAAGTCTGAGCTGTGTAGTAAGACCCTGTACAACAACATCAACAACAACAACAACAAAAAAAAAAAACAGTATCTGAAAAACAGTCCTGTACTACACTCAAAACATGCAGGCTGTCACTGTCAGCGTAGCTCAGCCTGTGAACTGGACCTCACTGGCTTTTCCTGACTGCCTCCACCTACCATGCTTTAAGGACTCTAAGGGTCGCTGTGGAATACTGATGCTGTGTTACTCTGAATGCTCAAGCCATACCCTATGTTCTTTGGAGAATTATTGCCTAATTAAAGTAATTCCTATCTGACTGCACTATGGATGGTCGAGAGATGAGAACAGAATATTGTGGGTAAAATGATGTAAAAGTATATAGAATTTTATGGGCCTGTGAGATAGCTCAGCAGACTAAATGCCTGTTTAGGCAAGCGCAGGGACCAAGCTTTGATCCCTGCCCCAGCACAACATACCATGTGTGTCCAACCCCCCAGGCATGCTGAGGCAGTGACACAGTCTGAGCATTGTGGTACATGCCAATAATCCCGGTGCTGGGAGACTCAGACAGGAGGATCACTATGAGTCTGAGCTGCATAGTGAGATACTGTACCAAATACATAAAAAAGAAAGAATTCTGTGTGTGCAGCTGAGGGGGGGAGAGGATTAATATTAATCTTCATGAGCCTGACTTTGAAAGTGGTGACATCTGATCTGTAGACTGTGGGAATATGCATTTGGCCTGTATGTTGCCCTAGTCCCCTTTAGATGCACAGGTCTCTATTATCTGTCTGAGTTCTTTCAGGAAGGCACGATGATTCTTGTAAAGAACTCGGACCAATACTGAGTCCATACTCATTTAATACCTACTCTTAAAAGGCAAGTTCTAACTTTTTTTATTTTTCTTAGGTACAGGAAATTAGAAACAATATGAGGCCTGAGGGGGCTGCAAAGATCATGCAGCCCAGCTTCTTCTTTGCAGAAACTGGACGCTGTGTCCAAGGGGTCAAGGGTATTATCCATCACCACACATATACTTTCCTACCAGAATTATAGCTTAGATTTTCTATGTCCAAAGATCAGAGAACCTCACTGAATTGCATCTGGCAATCTTGGCTTCCCTTCCCTTCCACTGCAAGGACTTGCTGGGCACACAGTGTAGAAGGACCCAGACTGAGATCTCCCCAGGTGAGCTGGGTGGGCTGGATAGCATTTAGAATGCATATAACATCATTTTAGGGCATGGTGGTTATATCTCAAAACATTTAGACAAGTCACTGAACAACTGACTTCATGTCCCTTCTACATGAAAGGGACATGAAAGTCCTGAAATATATTTAGGGATTTATTTTGCATCGTTTTAGATCTGTGCCATCCCATATAGTAGCCACCGGCCACATGTGGCTGTTTCAATTGAAACTGAATTGAAAGTGAAATAAGTAAAGGTAGAAATTCACTTCTTTGGTGGAACTAGCCACATTGCACGTGCTCATGTGTCTCAGATGGCCAGTGGTTATGGACTGAACAGTGCAGATAGAAAGCATCCCCATCGCTGCGGCGAGTTCAGTTGGATGGTGCTATTGGAGGGGCTAGGCGAGGTCGAGGCAGGCAAGACTGTCCCATAAGAGAAAGAAAACATTTCTAACTTATGGAGCTGTATAGACAGAATCTTTCAAGCAGAAAATGGGTGACTATCCTCCGGATTTACAGAAAATACATTCTTCCCATGAAAGTGAAGGCTGGTATGGCATTTTCTGCACCATCAGCATGGAGCTAGCCTTAAGTCACTCCTGTTTCCTGAAGGATTCTCTGGCAAAGTCCTCACGCCTTTTCTGTTCTTCAGACACGTCTGTCAGAGAAAGGCGCCTGAACGCTGCCTCCTTGGGTCTCATTCAATATCTACCAACCCAACTGGCTTCTAAAACAATGCGCTCTTAAGGGGAGCCCATAAAGTGCAGTCTCTATGGGAAGGCGCTAGTGCAAAGAGTATGATTTCATGAAGAGCGTCGAGGACAGCGTAGGCAGGAAGAGCTGGAGAAACTGCAGAAACCTCACAGAGTCAGCATGCTTCAGATGAGGGGGTCTCAGGAGCTCTGCACTGTGAAAGCCCACGGGCCGGCCCTGCATAGCAACAGCAAGGCTGACACTCTTCTACTTTTGTCCTTTCACCGGTGGTTCCCCTTCTGATGACTTCTCTCCCCCTACAGTCTCTGACTCCAGTGCAGCGGTGGCCCTACTGCCACTGAATCCCAAGATACTCTTAGAGAAGGGGTGGTGCTTGGCATCATTTCTCTTCCCTTCTGCCTCTCCAGGGCTAAGAGTCAGAGGAGCCACTCCAAAGACATCCACTGACTAAATGAGTCCCCTTTGGAGGAAATAGGATTGGAAATAGGGTTCTGTATATCTCAGAAATATCGCACTCAAAGCAGAAAAGTCCCAGCCTTCTAAGAGGCTTAGAAATGGGCTGTGGGCTGTAGGCACACAGCATACATTAAGGGGCTTGCGGGGCCCATAACCGCCCTTTAGCTGCGTGGCAAATCTGTTTTCAATTATCAAATCAGGACACAGTAATTTATGGCATCCAAACAGCTACTTTCCCGGTGAGATACTTGCTGTGCTGAATCCTGCCTGTCCCTGTTTGCCTGTTGCTAGGGTGACTGTTGGTCTTGGGAGGAGGGGGAGGGGCACCATGAGGCTTCTGTGCTCTAACCGGGAGAGACTTGATAGTAAAGCAGCCGCAATGTACAGACTAGCTGTTCTGGGGACAGTTGGGATGCTTCTCAGAGGGCTCCCCACGTCGACAGCATCCAGGCCAAGGTTGCCATGGTGACATGTGCAAAGCTTAGGGACCGAATGTGTGAGCCAGAGGGCTCTATTCTAGGGCCTAGAACAAAAAGCGGTGACTTCACACAATAGGAAATTCATATTTAATTAAGCAAAAGTAATCCAAGTGAAAACAAGGAAGCTGCAGGAAGTATAAAGACTCTTTGTAGGGGCTTTCTCAACTCCCATTTAAATTCAACTTGAAAAAGAAAATCTCTTTCCATTTAGCCCTGGAAGCTCATTACAAGTCTTTTAGATTTTTCCCCTGGTTTTTGTTCCTTATGGGAATCAGCCATCCTGACTAATTTTTTTTTTATATTATGTCCTCAAATATATAGATAGCAGAGCAGTGATTTGATTTTAATGTAGCACTTTTATTAACTTGAAGAAACATAAAATGACATCATTTAATATCTTCAGATAATTAGGAAAACTGCAAATGCTGTGCATGACATTGGCACTAGATGTCTATTGCTTCTTGAAAGCTGACAAAAAAGAGCTCATAATTTTCTCCAGATCTTCTCCCAAATCAGGGGCATTTTCTGGTTTGTGAGTTGACTCAGAGGCACAATAAAGGTGGCCCTGATTGGAAATAAAACTTTTTGCCTTATAAGAAGCAATCTTGGGGCTGGGGAGATAGCTCAGCAACCTAAGTGCCTTGCCTGGCAAGTGCAAGGACCAGGGTTCATCCCTGGTATCACATGCCATGCCAGCCCTGGGACCCTAGACACACCATGCTGGGTGTGGTGGTGAAAGCCTGTAATCCCAGCACTTGGGAGGCTGAGGGAGAGGGATTGTTGCGAGTGCGAGACCAGCATGGGCTACAAAGTGAGGTCAAGACCAGCCTGAGCTGCACATTGAGACCTTGTCTCAAAAAGATAGAAAAGGAGATAGATAGATAGATAGATAGATAGATAGATAGATAGATAGATGATAGATAGATAGATAGAGAGAGAACTTCAAGTTTCCATAGAGCTCACTGTTCAGAAAGTCTTTCCAGGCTATAACCTAAATCTTTCCAATGTCAGTTTCCAGAAGATAAAAAATAATATCCTTATAAACACACACAACAAACAAAATGCAAAACCAATGTCTGCTTCAGGTGAGGAGTGTGGATGGTTCCATGGAACTCAAATGGGTTAATGGCAATGATCAACCAATCCCTGAATCATGATTCATTTTGTGTATCATTAATGCACTTAATAAATAGTTGATTAATAAATCAGTGAGTATAGATTTTTATATGCATTTTTGGTGAGATATTTTGGAACTTCTATCAGACAGTTTGCAGTTTAACTCTGAAAAAAATAAGAACCATGAGATTCAACCCATGTGTAAAAGGAGGAGGCCAAATAATTACAGATGTTTCCTTTTGTTACAGAATAGGACCACATACAAGAATTCTTTGGATCTTGTTAAAGCCGACTCCAGGCTTGGGTCTGAGACTCTACTTCTAAAGAGCTCCCAAGGTGCTGAAGCTGCTAGTTGCAGGAACCAAACTCTGAGCAGCAAAGATATAAAGCCTCAGCTTACATGACACCCTCCAAAATGCAAGCTCCTGCGGGCAGCCTCTTACCTTCTCCGGCTGTTGACAGCGATGCAGACGGCAAGAATCAAAGCCAGGGCCAAGAGGGATGCCAAGATGATGAGCCATTCTGGTGTGAATGAACCAAAAGACGAGTGTGAGCATGACAAATACACTTTGTAAAACCAAAAATGCAACTGGAAAATTGATCTGGGCCAAGCAGGAACTACGGTCAGCGCTGCTAAGAGGCCTGGCCACAGGGCCCAGCCAGCAGGCACCTCATTCCTAAAGAGCGATTTTGCGAGTATGAGTTTATCTCTCATTCTAATCTTTTATCATCGGTCAGCATTTTCAAGTCCTGCCTGGAGAAATAGGTTTCCAAAAACATATTGAACGAAACTTGTTGAAGCCCGTAGACGCCTTTGGTGCAATACTATTAAATAGATTAAAAGAAATTTGTGCTTCCCTTGAAAGAAACATTTCTTTCCTATGCAAGAACATTTGCCTATATCTATTCAGAAACAAAAATAGAGATCACATTCTAGTGGGTGGAAGAAATAAGAAAGAAGGTTCAACTTATTAACGGTCATTTCAGGTGATTTGGGATTTCACATGTTCATGTTTCTCATCCAGAAGTTAGACCTCAGGTAACTTATAGGACCTCAAGTCTTGCTGAAATATAGCCATTACTGTGTTCTATCCAATAACGGAAGCTGGAAACAACCTAATACCAAATAGTAAGAGATCCACTAAATAAGGGTATATCCACATTATTATGTATTATGATAATGGAAAAAATATTTAATCACAAGAAGAGCTGTGTTCAGCCGAGAAGCAGTGTTGATCAAACAGCATGCATGTTATGATGCCATTTCTGTACATAAATTACTTTGAAGATTGGCAGGAAGAACATATATTAAAATGATAACATAGCCATGGTGCTTCTGGGTGGTGAGCTAATGATCAATTTATGATTTCCTCCATTGGTTTGGTTGTATTTTCTAGAATGCCCTTGATATGTATGTATTATTTGTGATCTAGTGAATACTTTATACATGTTTTAAAATCAGGCTTAAGAGGAGTGAAGTATGAGTTGGTGAGTTGAATCCACTCAGTGATGTATGTGTGCCATGTGAGTCAACTCACACAGCTTGAAAAAGAAGGAAGGTGAAAAGTCATTCATTGCCCACTTCCTTTGCAAGGCCTGGTTCCCTCTCAGTTCTGCTTTTGGCCCACCTCAGGGAAGATCCAGGAAGGAGGGTACTTGTTCTGTTCTTCCCCCCAGACCTTGCCTGGTCTGCAGTCCTGAGATATCATACTTTCATCTGAGTAAGGCTGAGAAGAATCCTACGCTTAACTGTCGCTGTGTGCCCCTGTCTTCCCTCTGCTTTCTCTCTACAAGCTCTGCCTTCATGAATGCTTGGGTAAGCCAAGGCAAAGGAGCATGATGTGCCCTATAATTGTCCCCCCCACCCCCACCAAGGGTGGCTCAGTTTGGAGTCTTCTGAGGAGCAGAGAACTAAAAGGGTCATTCACGACAGGAGATGATACTTTCCTTTTTGTCATCTCCCTTTACAAATGTTCCATTTTGACTCCAAGCCAAATAAAGAGTTGGCACCAGATGCCTTAAAGACTGATGTTCTGGTTATCCAGGTGTTCCAGCGCCCTCAGTATACATTTTGCAATACTACTTTCTGAAAATTTTCTCACAGTCCAATCAGTGGACTTCCCCTCAAGGAAAAGGAGTTTGGGACCCAGAATGATGATGTTACTCCACCCAACCCAGATTGCTCTTGTATCTCCTCTCTGCCTGTAATGTGGAAAGAAAATTACATGTTTCACTTAGGGCTCAGCAAAAAAGGGGAAACTGAGTATGACATGGGGCCCTCGGGGTGATCACTCAATTGGGAACAGGACACTTCCTTGTGACAGGTCAGGGACAGGTTTGTGTGTGAGTTCAGTTCATCTATGGCACCCAGACAACCCACAAAAAGAGTGCAAGAGCATTCTGTGTTTTCTTGCCAAGAGGTTAAAGCACTTTTGTACATCTTTAACTTGTAAAGAAAAATTATCAGGCTCAAGGATGGGTCAAGTAGGAGGGTGGTGTACACTATATTAGGTCTTTTCTTCTTTCCTGGGACATTCTGAGAAAATTGTTTTAACCATGTTTTTGTTTTCCTTCAACATTTGAAACTCACCTGGAATTTGGGGTCTCCTGATAGGAGCAGAGGTTGTGTTGGCCCCACCTTGAGTCCCACTTGCGTGTCCTAAGGAGATAAACAAAAAGATATCTCAGTCCAAGTTCGGAATATGCAACCAGGCATTCCTTCCTGAGCAGAGAAACAGGCCAACATGTAAGATCTACATCATCAACAAGCTATTTATAGATTCACACCACAGACATCTATAAAGTGTTATGCAAAAGATTAACACCTCCAAAAGTTCAGTGCAATTAAAGGTTAGGGCTTGACATGTTGTAGGTATGCAGTAACATAAAAATTTCAGAAGCAGTGGTTTGCAGTGCTTAAGACTGGGCTCTTGAGCTGGAAAGCCACGAGTTCAAGCCCTACCTCTGTCTCTTACTAGCAGCCTGTGCTACATCAAGTTACCTTTGCTGAGGCTAGGTTTTCTCTCATAAAATATGGGGATAGTGAGAAACTCAACTCCATGAACATTTTACAGAGATTTTAAGAAAGAAGCACACAAACTTGGTAACTGTATGTAGTTACTTTTTTAGTTTAACATAGGACCTTGCTACCCAAAGTGTGGCCCTCTGAGCTAGCAGCAGAACCATCGCTCAAGAGCTTGCTGAGAATGCAGAAATTCGGCCTTACTCCAGACCTATAGAATCAAGATCTTTATCTTCCTGAGATTCCCTAGAGGACGCAGCAGTGCCAGAATACTCAAAGTGAGCCTAAACATCACATCCACTGTCATCACTGAAGCCATCCTGAGCACTGAGAAACAAGGCTTTGGAGTCAATGACCATTGTAGACTCTGATAAATCACCCTATTAGAGCCCTTGCTAGTTTATTAGTGGCTGTCTGACTTGCATTAGAAAATGAACACTTTTCTCCTGCTACATAACAGAATAGGGAAATGAATAACAACAAAACCCAAGTTGAAAGAAAGTTTTGCAGAGCCAAAGCAGATATTCTACCTGTCAAAATCTCAGGTGGCTGATCAAAATGAGTAAGGCATCAAGTTGGTTTTTTGTTTGTTTGTTCGTTTGTTTTTTTGGTGGAACTGGGGATTGAACTTAGGCCCTTGCGCTTGCCAGGGAAGCACTTATTCCACTGAGCCATCTCCCCAGGCCCAAGGCATCAAGTTTTTAAAGAAACGTCTGAGACATCTTGTTAAGAGACTTACCTAAAACTAAAGCTCCATGGGTCTTTGTTTCATTTTGTTTTTCTATGTTTCCTCCACTAGTTAAGAATAAAACTTGAAACCATTTCACTAAAATGAGCATTTTTCCCATACTCCACTGGGGGGACCTGCTGTAGAATTCTCAAGGGTGATGGGCAAAAAATCTAAGGAAGTATGTTTGGCTAATTGGCAAATTTTTCTTAGAGAGTCAAACTATGGACTCTCCAGAGTAGACACTAAAATCTTGATTGCCATGGTTATTTGGAGGATAGGAGGGCTCAACAATTTGAAGTTCTTGTTGAAACTAAAAGTGGAGCAGAGCAAATCCTTATGAGATGACTGGCTATTTCAACATGCAGCGTCTCATTTTGTTTATTTTTATTTTATCTATTTATTTAATATTTTAGGGAAGGGTCTACAGGGTGTTCAAGGTCTCACTACTAGATCGGACTCATAGCGATTTGCCTGTTTACAGCCTCCCAAGAGCTGGGATTACAGGTGTGCACCACATTGCCTCATTTTGAAAGTGACCTTTTACTTCACCATCTCAAAGAACTCCAAGGCATTCTTTCTATCTGGCCCCAGTGTGCCTGGCCATTGCAAGCTTGAGCCTGAGATACTGGCCATCTAACCTGGAGAGCTTGGTCTTGGAAACCACCTAAAAGGTATCATCATCTTTGCTGGTCTTTATTTCTGACTCATAGCAGCCTTTGATATTCTAAAGAGAGCCCATTAATAGATCATATCTCTTTATTTTGATTTTCATAAACAAATGCTCCCAGCATGGAAAGATCTTGGTGTGTGAAAACCAAATGAAACCTCCTGTTGGAACAATACCCATCTGCACAGGAGCCAAACAAAAGAGACAAAGTCCTGCCCACCTGATTCTCATTTCAAGCAAAAACCCAAGAGCATAGGCGAGAGACAGCAGGCCTCTTTTGTGTCCCAGAGATCTATAAATCCAGCTAGGGCAAAAGCAGCCAAGAGAGCAAGTTCTGCAAAGCAGGAGTCTGAGCTCTCCAATTAGGAGACACGATCTAACTGATAAATGTGAATGGTGATCACCCAACTGATTTCAACTATGAGAATGACAGTGGAAGACGGAGCTTCCCAAACTTTAACACAGACATAAACCATCTGCAGGGAGGAACTTGGTTACAATGCAAATCCTGAGTCACTGTGTCAAGCCTGGCCAGAGATTCTGCATTTCCAACAAGCTCCTAAGTGATGTCTAGGTTGTTGGACCAAGGACCACCTTAGAGTAGCTGGGGTCTATTGGCTTTAGAGAGCATGGCTTGAATAATGACTTTCTACTGTTTCCCAAATGATTTCCATTTCTGACATCATGTGCTCTTCACAAACACTCTAGGAGATAACTGAAGAAGGTGATCTCATCTTCCCTTTCTTCACAAGGAAACTAAGGCTGGAACCTCCAGCACCCTACCCAAGGACCCCAGTGAGCCTCAGACTTCTCCCCAGGCTCCAGAAGCACTGTTGATAAACCCTACATTCCAGGGGAGTAAAGGGCTATTATTGCAGCCATCATGTAAATATCCTTCTTCAGATTTACTTTCAACCTGAAGGCAGCCCTTGCCCCAACTTGGGCATGCAGGGAAGGATGCTACCTTAGATGGCTATGAGTCATGTGGTTTTGTCTTGCTGGGGAGAACTCATTATGTGGGAAAAGCAAAACCTCTCAATTGCCCTAGTAATAGAGATCAGAAGTCAACCTACTTGATGTCAGGCTTCTCTGTCTGAAGTAACAATTTTAGGGGGTGTGATCTGAGCCACAGCAAACAGGAATCTGTTTAATAACGTATGCCCAGCATCAAACACAAGCTATTCTTATTTCAAAACCTGTGCTGTTAGTCATTCTGACACAGAGCTATGTTAAAGGACCCTGCATGGATTCTTCCTGATCCATTCAAATGAAAGACTTCTCTCCAGAGTGGTAGTCACCAAAGTCCCAGTAGTGTCAGCATTACCAGGGAGTTTATTAGAAACACAAATGCTTGGGCTCTACACCACACTACTGATTCAAAACCTTTTCAGGGTGGGGACCAGAAATGTGATTTAATAAGTTCTCTCTGGGATCGTAATGCTTGCTAAGAGAGTGTGAGCCCCTTCTCTGGAGACACTGACTCATATTTTATTAGGGATCATCAAGCTCAGTGATCATAGCAGTAAATGACTATGGCAATTTCAACTCACCATCAGACTTAGAACCACTAGTGGTATGAGCATGCTCGTTGGGGTCCATGGATGACTCTCGGTCTCCTGCAATGTCCAACGGGAGAAAGTTAGTCCTGGGTCTCCACTTCTACTGCAATCTGCTTTTCTTCATGTTGTATTCTTCCAAGTCCATTATGAATTTTAATCTTATAAACCAAGAAGTGATATTAAAGGAGTCGTGACCAGGTGTATGGTATTAATCACCACTCTGTCTAGCCCATTGATGAGTGGGCTGCAGACTTAATAAAAATTAAGGAAATAAAGGCAACATACACTATCTAAAATAACACCCTGGAAAGTGTGGCTTTGGTAGAAATCCAAGAACTGTGGCAAGAAACACTGTAACTAAACTGTTATGAAGGCTTCACATAAGGTCAGAGATATGCCACATGGGTGTTAATTAAAGACTTCTAGAATTAGACTGAGATGTGTGATCACTGGCAATGTGTACACTCTGGCCCAGAGGATGCGATTTTTAAAGAGATTTCTCTGAGACAGAAAATTGAGCTGTTAGTCTACTGGGTCTGAATGATGCAAAGATTAAAAAAGAGCATTCAGCAATTTATTTAAAGTAAGGGATGATAAAAGATAATGTGTAGATAATGTGTTCCTGGGTGTTATAATGAGTTCAAAATAATATTTTTCAAAGGTTAAGCCACGTGGTGAACACCAGTAGTTAATACAACCTCAAATATTTATTACCGGAAGACTTTAAATAGAGACAAACTCATGAGTTGCTAAAATTTCAATACAAATTAAAATCTTAGATTTGACCTATGGAAATTCTCTGACTCCTTTCCACCCACCCTCCGACAATTTTTAAATATGCTGGGATCATTAAACCCAGACACACAGTTTAACAGTTTCACAAATTGGATATAGTTACTGATTATGAAGATGCCTGGAAAGAATCTGTAGTAACCTAATCATTACCATTTCCTTGATTAGGAAGGAGGGAGATGGGTCACTTGTAATCACTCCCCTGACTATATTAAAGACCTAGATTGCTTTGGTCCTGAGTTAGAATAACGAAAAGGCCATTCTGTTAGAATAGCAAGTTAGAATAACAGAAAACAGCAGAAACTGTGATGCCGCATTGATATTATCATTATCAGAATCACCATCCCCAACACCAAACCCATCACCAACACTGCCACCATGATCACAAGTGCTTTAGTTCTTAATATTAAGCATAAAGATTGAAAAAAACATGGACAGAAGCACACATATATGAGTGTTTTGGAAGAAAATCAAAGAAAAAAAAGAAATGTCTCACTAGCTACTGAATCCATGAATAACCACGAAAAATCCATTTGTATCATGACCTCTCATGTGCAGACATAGAAGAAACACTAATTTGGTAGAAGGAATTTTACTTGCTAACAATTAAGCTCTCTGAGCCTTCTAGGATTATTAAAATTGCCATTTAAAATTTAAATCCATTAGGTTGTACAATATGGCTCTGATTTGCCAAGAAAAACTAGATTGAAGTTTAAGATTCACTCCTCCAGAAGAAAACTGACAGTGGTACTTAGAGTTTTTATTTTATTTTTTATTTTACTTTATCACTGTTATTATTTTTTGGAATAAGAATTGAACTCAGGGCCTTCTGCTTGTCAGACAGGTGCTTGTGCCTCTGAGCTATATCCTAGCTCTTAAGAGTTTTTATTTATTTATTTTTTTTGTATCATGATTTTTTTTAAAATTTTATTTTTATTCTTTCTGTATTTAGGACAGGGGCTACAGGGTCTCACTACATCAGACTTGTAGTCATTCTCCTGTTTTCAGCCTCCCAAACGCTGGGATTACAGGTGTGTGCCACCATGCCCAGTCTCAACGGTCGTCTCAGCTCACGCTGTGGGCGGGGCCAGCACAGCATAAGGAAGTATAAGATTATGCTACACAAAACACTAAAACATATCAGGGAGCTTTGTCTTACCAATACTGCTGGGATCAGTATTTTTCTAAACATTTTCCTTGAAGCCCAGAGGAGAGTAGTCCAAAGGAACAATGCCAAGCATGTGACATCCTGGATTTTCTTGTCCTACTTTACAACATTGCAGTTGTTCTCTGATTTACATGCAGGATTCTCTTATGACATCTTTTTTTATTTTTGAGGGGAAGGGGATCTCTACTATAAATATATGTTTGTGGGTTTTTTTTTGGTGGAACCGGGGATTGAACTCAGGCCCTTGTGCTTGCCAGGAGAGTGTTTATTCTACTGAGCCATGTCCCCGGCCCCTAAACATACATGTTAATGATAATGAGAACCACTTGTATAATTGGAACTAAGAAGAGAGAATCAGTTTTTAGTTTCTTAGCCAGTTCCATTTCTTTCATCATCAGTTTCTTGAAGCAAATGGAGAGAGAAAAAGAACACTAGAAGTGACTGCTTATTTGAGCAGAATTTTGCTAGGTCCCCGTCAAGCCTCATGGAATAAATCATCTCATTACTATCACAATAAAAGTGTTCCCTATCATTAATATTAGATTAAACCATGAAAGTTTAAGTGCATTGTAACTAGAAGAGCTTTATCCACCAGCCCATCACCAAAATTAAAATTGATCAATCCATCACCAAAAACACACAACAAAAATATGTTTAGAACAGAGTCTTATGTTGAGTGAAGTCTTACTGAATAAGCAGCATTTATTAATTGAATCAAATGAAATTGCTACTATTCAGTTATTCTGATCCACAGGAATATTATTTCTATACGGATTTCCTTGAGACACCACAGGATGAAGAGTAAAGCAAAGAGACACTACCATAAGCACCAAGTCACAAGAGTAAATGGAAAATATGTTTAACAAATGGAAGCATTATTTTACATTAAATAATTCCAAACTTTCCATTGCTAGAATTGATGACAAGTGATGAAAACCATTCCCATGTCACAAAGAAGCCTAATCATAGTCTATATAGAAAATATCTCTGTAATAGAAGAGTACATATTGTTTCGCTCTCTAGAGAAAGTACACCAGATTAAAAATGGCCAAATTCCCTAGCCTTCCAAGGTCAATTAAGACTCAGGACATATGAGAACTTGTACTGTAACATCATGTAACTCCATAATGTCCCAAATTTTCTGATCAAGGAGGTTATGGGGCAAAACAGGAAAGTGATCAATGATGTAGAGTCTGCCTAAGGAGAGTCACATAGAGAGAAAATATTCTCTCAGGCTTTCACAGAGAGCACATTGGCCAAGCAATGGCCATGACTCATCCACATGGCTGACACTGACAAAGGATCTACAATTTGAGGTACAGCATCTCAAGACAAATCCTGAGGGAATTTGACTGACCTTATCAGACCCAAAAGCTACAACTCTTGTTCCATAGGTCTTGTTTTATCTTGGTCTTAACCATCCAGCAGAAAAGTATAAAAACGAAGTATAAGAAGTAAAGCCATGTTGTTATGTTGAGCTGTAGGTCAACAACTTCTGACACTGCCAGTGAAGCGGAAGACCCAATATTATTATGGACTACTGGACTCTGTTAGAATATTTTGCTGCATTAACACACCTATAATATTCAAATGACGGAACTAAACAATAAAGGGGATACAGATGAATGTCCATTTTGTATCTGTGCATTCAAAATAGTTAGGATAGATATATAGTTACATTCTCTTAATGAATAGAGGGATTTGTTCTAATAGTGTTTGTAAATAGGATATCATGTCTGCATCTTGTACAGCAATTAGCCACTAGGAAGAGAGTATGCAATGTGTTAATTATTGAACTGTCCTGCCAATTTGATTTGAAGCTGTCTCATTGCTATTTGTTTCTCAATACAATTATGGAAAAAAATGGCCAAATTACCTGGTAAGGGGTGATCAACATCAGAGTTATGCTCTCCAACAACAGTAACTTCAGTTTCTCCAAGGCCCCCAGTATTAGCAGGGGTCACTGGGATGAGGGTCCCGTTTTCTTTTGTGTCTGGGTACTGAGGGGTATAACCTTCCAGTGATGTAGCTGAGTCTTCAGGAAGATTTCCACCTCTTCTGCCCCCTCTGGAAGGATGTCTGTCTGTATGGAGGTGGAATCAATGATAAACCCGCATCTGTAATATCGCCTCCCTCCATGATCCTGTCTGCAGGATATGCAATTGCTGCAAAGCCTTTCCAGTAGTTATCCAAGAGCAAAAGCAAGAGACAGAGACGTTTGTCACACTGCGGAACAAAATTGATATTTTGCTTGGACACCAGGTGAACATGGCACAACAGAAGAGATACTGGTGACCCTAATACCCAGAAGAAGCATGTTTGTAACTTTTGCCTGAGCTACTAACGTAAGACTTACACCACCATGACCAAAACCTTGAAGTCAACTGAAGTACTTGATAACCACGAGCTTTTTCTTAATTGGATTCACCTTTGATGAAGCGGAAGAAATTACCATTGGACTTGAATGGTAACATTATGCTCCCCCACAACTGAAATAGCAAATGGATGATTTTAAAGACTTGAGGTTGCTAACCTAATTATTCTTTCCTGGGCCAGATGGGCACTGCTTCTTAGTCACCAGCACTGTGGCCTTATGGTCCAGAGGAAAAATAGCAGAATAATATGATTAGTGGAAATAATATAGAGCTCTACAATCAGAGCTTCACACCAATTGTAAGTCTTACAGAAGCAATGCATTGTTTTGAGCCAAATCACTATGCACAGTGTTTAAGAAATCTGACTTCTAAGACTAAGCAATACAGTTTGTGCTTAATGTACAATGACATCTAAGAGGTCTACAAAGCAGAGAAATCAGAGACCATCACCAGATGCACCTTATGATAAAAAGAAACAGGATCAACAACAGCCAATACAGGCACTTCCACCAAAGACGCAACAAGAGCACCCATGATATATTGGATTTTATCAAGAGCTGAAGCCAACTGGGTTCTATAATCCTTACTGCCAGATGTCAGAGGAGAAGTTGTTGGATGGTCTTGATCTTCTTCCAGTTCTCCATGTGATGTAGAGAAGCTCTGAGAATCACTCTGCTCTGTTTCAATGAGGGATGAATCCAGTATTAATTCGGAACCAAGATACAGGTCCTCTGTTATGTGCTAATAGGGAGGATCTACCTACGCTATGTCACAGGGAGTGGTGCATAGTGAGAAGGAGGTTTGAGCACAGCATTATTCTTTGATTGTAGGAAACACACAAAATTCTATTTTGATGCTCAAGCTCTTAGTATAAGCAATAAAGGTAAGGTTGCCAAGTGAAGCCTGACCCCAAACTTTCCCCACCCTGGATCATCTCCCATGGTAACATTGCTCCCAGGCAATCAGGCAAACCAGAGAATGCAGATGCAGAGGCATGGAGAGGCAATATCTGAATTTCAGTGCTCCTATCAACAATCAGGAACACCTAACTCTGAGTCCAAAAGTGGGACTGTACAGGAAACAACACCAAGTAGTATAACTATAAAAGAGAAAGAAGCCCATCCAGGATAATCTGCTCAAGGAACTAAAATCAAATTTGCACAGGGAAATTTATAACTCCTTCTAAAGACCATTAAAGTTATAGTTTTACTGTATGATTAGGCTTTTGATCTCATCTGTGCTTAGGAATTTGCATCCCTGTACCAAGGAGATGTTTGCCTGTCGAAAGAAAGGGACCTCAGCAACCTGTATGCATTGCAGGTTGAACTATTGCCAGATGTAGAACCACTTTGACTGTTTTGAGTTCATCTCCTTGTACGAATGCTACTGATCTCCAAGTTTCAGGTTCAAGAGATCCATAAAGCACAAGTAGAAGTCATGTGTACCACCAAATAAATACCCTATTTACCAAATCCCAAATCCAGCATGTGAGCAAAAGTCATAAGCAATATAACATGAAAATACAAGTCTTTTGTTAGCAAGTGCCATTCATAGGCTTATCTGTAGCTCTTCTGATGCGTAACACGGTGTGAGCTACCCTGGTGACAATCAACACATTCTTGCTGATTTTTTTCCCCTTCGCCTAAAGGGTTCATATAAAGGGCTGTACTCATTCATTATTTGTAGCAAATAATGAGGCCCTCTTATTCTGGATTTCTTTCCTATTCTGTCAAGAAAGTATGAATGACTTTAGGCTGATCTCTAGATTATCACTGAAAATATGGTGGACATTGAGGATATTAGAAATTTAACATCCCTTCCATGTTTGGTGATAGAGATACTAGCAAATATTCCTTTTTCATTCCAAGAAACACATCACCTTTGTCAATTTTCAGCAATACTCTTTGTCCCTCCTATTTGGGCTAGTGTGATTTCCATATGATATGATTATCTGACTCCCACATGCCCTTTCACAATGAGGAAAGCAAGTAAAAAAGAGATGGCCAGGTAAAATACAAAAAATCCTCTGTGATGTTTTGTATCACTGACATGATCACTTAGAGAAGGAAAATTAGGTTGAATGAAAGTTCTGCAACCTTTTAATTTTTTTTAACATAAACTCATCGAATCTGGAGGTAACAAGAATGAAGGTAAGAATAAGATATAAAGAACTCACAAGAAATAGAGATAATAAAGCCATTTTAACACCTGATGCTAAACTGAGTCACACCGCAAAACATGCCCCATTCCACCACCAACTTAGCCACCATCCTGGCCAAGTGAGCAAGAGCTGAAGCAGGAAGATAGGCTGATAAAGGACAGAGTGTCATTGTCCTTACGAGTCGTCACTGACAGAGGTCTTGTTCTGTCCAAATCGTCCACCAAATCTGTGACTGGCTCTGCAGTGGGCTGAACTGGTGTACTAGGACCGCTGTCCACATCTGAAGGAATTAAATCAGGGTTATTGCTCTATTTCCTAAGCCACCCCTGAGGGCCATGATGTTCAACAGTCAAGTTATTTTTGCATTCGAACATGGTAAGTGGAAAGAAAACACATTAGTTAATGTCTTTAGAATGGGAATAAAGTACTGTTTCTTCAAAAGACAAGAAGTAGCTAGTTTTCACCTAAGGACTGAGTTATACAAGAGCCATAATTTTGTTTTTGCTGGGTCTAAAAGCACCACACATGAACATACAATGAGACACCCAAACATTGCAGAGACAGAAGCCTAACCCATGTGACAGAAGCCATACCCTGCCATAGTGACTCCCACAGTCTGACACAATCTAGAAAAAGGATAAAGTGCATTGTTGGGGCATCATTTTGTGATTTCCTGCTTACTGGGCAGTGTCACTTTTACAATAGCCTCCTGCTTTCATTTAGTCTATTTTTCTTCACAACGTGAGCATGCAGATAAAGATATAAAATCGTCACACTGTGTTATCTAGGCAGAGACCACAGGGAGCACACAGGGGCAAGACATAAGAAGCAGTTAGGTGTCACCCAGTCATTTCACCTCCCAGCACTAGGATGAAATGGTTTTGGAATCTACTGCACACAAAATGTCGAGTGGTGCAGAAACTGTACAGAGGTCCTTATAAGTGCCGTTTCTAGTGGTCATGCCCGATCTATTCTGCTAGCAATAACAAACTCTAAGAGAAATGAAGGCCAAAGACCTCAAAAACATCATCAAATTGCTGGCCGTCCAATTTAGTCAGTTCACTCACACTATTGCCTCTACAGATATTTAATCAATTTCAAATGACTGCATAGATATACAGCTATTTTCTCTTAATTCAATGAGAAGAAAGATTTGTACTAATAGTGTTTGGACAGGATATCACATCTGCATCTTGTACTATGAATAACCACTATGAAGACAACAATATGCAATGTGTTAATTGTTGAAACTGTCCTATTAATCGGTTTTGAAACTGTCTCATTGCTATATGGTTCTCAATAAAATTAATAAAAATAAATAAATAAATATTTTTAATTAAAAAAACAAAAATATTGTCTAGTTTTAAGTGCATGTTGGTGTATAGTGGATTGTCTTTCTATTGTTATGTTTTCTCATTTATTTTTTTAAATAAATAAAACACAGACACTAAAAAAAAAAAAGTCCTGGAATATTGGGCACCCATGTCTACACTGCAGCCTTTAGGACCTAAAAGGAAAGACAATCAACATCCTTGTAGGACAAAAATGTGCTGCTGGCCCTGCTCTCCCAGATATCAAAAAGGAGAAAAGGCCCACTAATCCAAATGAAAATTTCAAATGGGGAATCTTCTAGAGAAATCCCTGCCTGCTGACAGGCTCCAGTCACTCTGGTTCACCTTCCTTTTTATGGGAAGAATCTTTCAAGAGACATCACAGCTCCCTAGGGTGGGAGCCAATTGTTTTATCTTTGACACATTTTTCCATGTAGTGGAGACTCTTTACTCCGTATAGAGATTTAATATCAATACTCCGCATCTTTAACTGGATTGATAGTCCACCATCAGTGTCGTCAGAATCTCCAGAATCCATCTGCATATAAAATGTGTGTTGGGTCTGCATGTGGCACCTTAGTAACCCAACATAGTAGCCCCATTTAAATCTCACTTTACTTAGGACAAATGGGTCCATTCACTGGGACATATTCATGCTTTGCCTTTTTTTTTTTTTTTCCTTTATGGCCCTCACATGAGTCTCCTTGATAGAATTTTTTTTCTCACTTTCTTTCTCTGATTACTCAGGTTGTTTCAGTTTTCAAAAATCAGATCTAATCCATCTTTCTCTAATGCACTCTGGACAGTATGGACTCCTTTGAATTTCTTTAAAATTTTACTTTATTATTAAGTTTTTGTATTTAATACAGGGTCTACTGGGCTTACAAGGTCTCACTGTGTAGACCGGACTCATAGCGATCCTCCTGTTCGCAGCCTTCCAAGTGCTGGGATTACAGGAGCATGTCACCATGCCTGGTCTCAATTGTTGGCTCAGCATGCCCCGGGGGCGGGGCCAGAACAGCAGGTTTGGAGATCCAACTCCTGACCCCTGTGTCTGCTTAAGCAGCCACTTTAACCCACTGAGCATTTTTTTTTTTTTCTTTTGTGGTACCTGGGATTGAACTCAGGTCCTTGAGCTTGCCAGGGAAGCGTTTATTCCATTGAGCCATCTCCCTGGCCCCAACCATCTCCCCAGCTCCCCGCTGAGCTATTTGGTTGGCCTTAAAAATTTTTTTAAAGATAATAAAAGGTAGTAAAAAAAAAAAAAAAAAAAAAAACAAAGAACATTAGAAATGATATAGAATTGAGCTAAACAACGTGATAGGAATTCAACAATATTTGTTACATTGCATTATTGTTGTCTTCAAGTTAGTTGTTCAGATTACCAGATGTAAGCATGAAAATTTGGTCCAAAAAATTGGCCAAAAAAAATTTAAAATAAGAAAAAAAAAATTGAAGCACTAACTGTTCCTTTCAATAGACCAGCAAAAATCAGTAGTACAATTATCCAAAATATAGTGTTTACTGTTAGCAATATTCACTTCACATACATTACTTGTTGTCTCCCATTGTTGGATCTATTTTGCTTCTAATTCTTTTTGCTAGCTAAATCTTAAGGCTCTTAAGAGAAATGACCATGAATTATACACCCTTCTCTCTCCATAATGCTTTGTGCATTAGCAGGCATTTAATGTTGATTATAGTTCAAGGGATATTTGGATTACTAATATTTGGACAAGAAATAGAGTACTCTAAAGAAATAAAACTAAAAATTGTTGGATTCATTTTAGAGACAACTTTGAATTTATTTAACACCAACAGACATTCCATTGTGCTTAGAACACATTTTAATGAAGTTTATGTGACACATATGTTTGGAAATTTACATCCAGCTAATATATTCTATTCTATGACTGCAAATTCACGTTTCACTTTGGTAATTTCAATTTATCTCTCTTCAGAATGCTACATTTCTGTGATTAGGGCAGCCTGTTTGAAAAAGAACTACAAGCCTGTAACAAATCAAGACTCCTTTACTTGTTTGATATCAATACAACAGGCACCACATGCAATTAGTTCTTGAACATTCTCTCCGGAAAGCTGTGATCTGATACAATAAAGGAAAAATTCTTTTTGAAATTAAAAATTGATCAAATAAACTTGCAGTTTTTCACCCCTGCAGAACTACCCCTAGTGTCTTTCTTTCTCTTTTAGAAATTCTCATAAAAAATATAAGAGAAGAATAGTTAAGAAAAAGGAATTTTAGCTTTGATAAAAATTGTCCACTTATTAAATTTAAAAATACTTATTGAGGGCCAACAGTAATATACTGGATACTATGTTATATCCAAATATGGCAAGAATAAATAATGAAGTTTTCCAAGTCTTTTATTTTTTTATTTTTAATTAATTAATTAATTAATTTATTTATTTATTGGTGGAACCAGGGATTGAACTCAGACCCTCGCACTTGCCAGGCAAGTGCTTATTCCACTGAGCTATCTCTCCAGGGCCTCCAAGTCTTTTAGTTACCTGTTTAGAATAATTACTCACCATTTTTTTTAACCTCTTAGATTTCTCTACAAGGGCAAATACCTTTGAGTCTATAGTACAAATAGTATCTTAATTTATCACTTAATTTAAGAAACTTGTACATACAAGTAAGTAGAAAAGAAATCTTAATATCCCTTCCTTAGGGAAAATGACTTCTATACTTTGAAGTTTAGGAATAAGTATTCTTTAATCCGCCCATGAAATTCTTCCCTTTCAGCCCAGGATTTCATATTAGGTTGCATACTGCTATTACGGGTTGTATCTGGATGTCTCATCAAAGCTTTAGATGGGCCTTTTTGGAGCTGGCTGGATCTAGGGAATGTGACACTAGGATTAGGTGTGGATAGTACTAAATCAGTCCACTTAATGGATTTGGCATAGTCCTGGGTGTGGGTATTGGGAAGGCCCACCCTGGCTGTGGGTGGAACTACCCTGAAACCTTGTGACTCAGATGGGACAAAAGGAAAAGGAAGGTTTGCTGTCTACCCTGTTACGGACTGTTTCTCCTCTTTGATGCCCCTCTGCCATGCTGCCCACCCTTGGAACCAGCTGACTATGGACTGAACCCTCTACAAACTGTGAGCTAAATAAAACTATCACGCTTTAACTTGTGGGTGCTGTATATTTTATCCCAGCAATGAGAAAAGTAATTAAGACACAGTCCTATGGGGGAAATTACTTTTTAAGAAACTTCAACATCTTGAGGAAAGTAGATTGGTCTAAAACCAAGGCCATATTTCTGGGGAAAAATCAGTAGATACTAAAAACATAATGAATAAGAAAGCTTTGAGACACTATTACCCATCATTTTCTCTGTCTGATGACCTCTTCCCATTGGATGTGAGATTGGGTCGAAGAACTCAGTCCAGGAAATGTCCTCTTGACTCTGGGTTGTCACTCTTTGACTTGAATGGCTGTTGGGGGCTGAGATTGTTGTGACCATGCAGTTCAAACATTTGTCAAAGTGATAACTTACATTTGGCTAGGGATACTCTTTGGACTAGGGATATTCTTTGGACAAGACAATCAAACTATCTTCCTAGTATGCACAGCAAGGAAGTTACATGAAGGAAGGGCATTTTAGGAGATGTAGTTCACCCATGCTAATTTTCTTGGCAGTCAGCCTGTGAACTGGAGGACACAAAACATTCACAATTTCTGCAGTGAGCAGAAGATGAGTTACAGGCATCAAAGAAAGATGAAGAAGTCCTTCTTAACCCATGCTGCCACAGTCCCTAAAGAAGGAAATACAGGAGCCCAAGTACATGATGTAAGACAACGGCCTCCCAGTAAAATGCACAAGGATATAGACAAAGAGGCAGGCAACACCTCCTCCAGTCATAAACAGGAAAGCAAATGCCATTCACCACAAAACCATGAATGAAATCTGTTAGAAGTGTCACCTTCTAACAATGAGATTTATGGCTTAAGAATGTAGCTCATGGCTTTTGCTTCATTCTGTGCCAATAGAGAAGTAGAGGTTGGAAAAATTAGAGTGCTATCACCCAGTAACAACCACAGCACATAGCCATTCACTGACTCTATTGCTTTACTAGGGCTTCATTCAGAAGATGCCATGCACTGGCAAGATACAATGCACTATGCTCTATAATACGCACAGAAGCATGGGGTATTTCCCACTAATATCAAGTAAGAATGTGAGATCCACATTCTTTACTACACAGGAAAGATCTCAATGCTTAGGTCACACAGACAAAAGAATCATGCATAGGAGCTTACAGAGCCAAGATATTTGCACCACTTAGAAAGGATGACAAGACTTGCATCTCATTTCTACAATCCCACAATTCCACAAAAGAGCAGGGGACTTATTTGTAAATCTGAGAAAAAACCATTACATATTCAAGGAGAAATTACCAAGCAGATATGAACAAAAGGCCAAATGATGATAGGAGTCAGTTTTCTCATTGTATCTGGATCCACTTCATTAAACACTAGGGTTCTGACAAAATTCTTTCTCACAAGTCTAGTGTTTCCCAGAACCATATTGCAAAGGTGGACACCCACACTGGACAGTGGGTTCCTTTACAAAACAGAAGTGTGTATGTGATAAGATCAGGGCCTCTGTTATGATCTCAGGAGGGGACGCCCAAAAGCAGATACGGAAGTGACATACTTGAGGGCATAGTACGAATGAACTTTTATATTCATTCCTGTTCGGGTAATTTGTTAGGAGTGTTAAGATTTGGCTTCGTGTTCACTGTAACATGACTTCCTAAGAGGCCTCACATCTTGTAACAATTCTTTCAGTGTCCCTCTGTTCAGTGTTCTCAAGTCCCCACATTTAGCTTAAAAGGAAGGTTCTGCCCATATTTACTTATAAGCCCATCCATTACCAATTGTCCCTGCTGTTGAATCAGAGTCTTCTCTTGGTGTTTGGGGATATTCCCCATGCCATCCATTCTCAAACCACTGCTCTTTCTGGGTAGCTGCTGTTTCTTCTGTTGTGCTACTAGGAGCTGCCCAGGCTGTGAGAAGAATGTCAGTCGTGAGCTACAATTATCCAACTTCCCCTCCCAACAACTCTTACCTTTGTAGTTTACAGGCACAGATATGTGGGGGGAGAAGAAAAGTAATATAGTCCAGAGATGGGTCACTGAGATTCTGAAAGGGTTATTGAAAGTTAAATAGTCTAACCCTCCAATTTTTTTGATGAGAAAACGAGAACCTAAAGAAACTCTGATTTGCTCATCATCATGTCTACAGACTGGACACAAAGTTAGGAGTAGACCGTAGTGTATGATGGCCTACTTCTCATGCCCAGTATTATTCTTTTACTATAATCTAGGACATCACATATCCTTTGAGAAAGAACTGTGTTCAAATAATCTCAGCTCCAGTGATAATGGAGGAGGAAATATATTTTAAAGCAACTGATGGCAATGTCAGCATAGGAGGAGAACTTCTCAAATGAATTTCTCAAATGGGTCACATAATATATAATCACAAACATTTGAAGTGTACCAGTGATGTATTTGCGCAGCACGAAAACCTTTGGGGTGACTGGAATATTACCACACAGATTCATTATGTGGTAATGTCTGTGTGACATAAAATCACAAAGATTACTCCTTAACAAAGTGAATACAGTAGCCATTGCAATATATAGACAACAGCAATTTGAGACAGGCTTAAACTTCCACTCATCTTTAAAAGAAACAAAATAAATGGGATAAAATTCCATCAGGGTGATCTCAGGAAGAGTCACAAAACCTCTGACATTTTCAACAATAGCAACTACTAGCGAGTTTCTAGTTCATTTAGAAATGAATGCCTATGAGCCTGCAAAGGAAATTATTTTATGTATCTGGTAACACTGGTTGTATCTCATTACCTTAGGAAAGGTTACAGGTGATTTGATAACAATAAATATATATATTTTTTAAAATAAAAGTTATTGTCCTTATTTTGCCTTTGCATTGGCCAAAGCGTTCTGGGGGCTAATGGATTATCAAAGGGGAGAAAAATGTCAGAATTTTAATTTTAACTTCCCACAGACTAAATCACTTCCTTGTGACAAACAATGATACTTGCTTGTACAAACCAGAATGTAATTACAGCAAAAGAAAAATTGATTTAAACATAGACTTGCATAGTAATCAAAGCTTAAAGGAAAAAAAAAGCAAACACACACATAACTACACACTTTTAATCACTACTGTTATAAACACAGAGATCCTTTCAGTACCCAGGAACTAATTCTTGTTTTCAGTGCAAGTCGTAATGGATTAGCAAAATATTAGATTTCCATTACAGAATATGGAAATAGACTCTCTTTTAAAAGTTGTAATGTCCACTTGATAAAGACCAGGAGTCACCTGTCCAAATCCCTTTAAATTTCTGCAAGCAATATTAATGCCTTCTTTTTATCAAGCTCTGTTATATTTGGTTTCTGAAGTATCCTCAAGTAATGATGCCCCCACACCTCCTTTTGATGCTAAGTTCATTAATTCTAAGCTTCTTGAGTACCTTTGCTTAGTTACCAGCTGTTGAGAATAATTTCAGAGACACGTAGAACCCCAAGACGACTGGTACTAAATCTTGTTGCATATACATTTCTGCTTTCTCTCTATTTGTCTTCACTATTAACTTATCCTACCATCTTTCTGCATGTATCAACTCTACTTGAAGTAAGTAAGGTCGATTGGACATAGTCAGTACAATGCTTGGGACTTATTTACCTATGTCTTGAACTTTTCTACAGTTATCTGAAAACATTCCTAAAACCATAGATTCCAAACTCATTTGGCCTCCAGGTAGCTGTTTCTTATACTCTCTTTTTAGGAGTACTTAAGGCTATGAGGGTGCCAGTTGCACTACAGTTTTAAGACTGCTACAAGCTATTTTTCAAATAAAAGCTTACTTTATTCCCAAAAACATTGGCATATCTCAGAGGTGCAAATCTGAAAGAAGAATATATACGTTTTACTTTTTTCTTGTTTTTTTTTATTTTCTTGTCATCACTCAAGTTAAATGGTGATATCTGAAATTGTTTTAGATGAGATGTTTGTATATAAGTAGAAATAATAATAACAACAATAATAATAATATCAAAGCCTTTCTAAAGTGATCCTGAGTTTGAAAACTGAAAAAAATCAACTGCAAATTCAGTTATAGACAACTTCAGCTACTGACTCTGCTTCAAGAGGATCATGGGTGAAATTCTACAACAGAGTGAGGAAAAGAAGGTAAAAAACAAATGGAATTTCTCACAGATTTTGATAGGAGCTAAGGATTCCAAAAATACTTCCACTTAATAAGCTTTTCTTCCATATCCCACTCCCAGACACCCAAAGGGCATGTTTTCCTCCATATATTTCCATAAACACACACACACACATAAATCTCTCAAAAGAACTTCTATGCCTCTGGAACACAAACACTATAACTCAGATCTACTTTTTCAACATTTTGCCCTTTCAGGTAACATGAAAAGTTAGTATTTTTCCTTCTGGTTTCTAAAGAATTGTGTGCTAATTTGGCTTCTCAAGCTCTACAAATAAAAGAAATTACTTGGAGAGACAGAAGATGTATCCAATGTCTAAACAATGTCTCCCCTTGTCCCTGAATGCCTTTGCTAACTCATGTAAATGACTGTGGACTTCCATGCTTCTTACTTGTGCTTGAAGGATGTGGGGTCTCCTCTTCATCCTGATGCCCATTGTGGATGAAAGGAGGCTGTCCGTCCTGGGTCCAGTTTTCTCCATTAACACTGGTACCATTTCTGTCTACATCTGTTGTGATGATGGTGAAATAGACTGTGACTTTCCTCAACCAACTAGTGTGCCCTATACCGAAACACTATCTCTGAGCCCTATTCAGAAGAAATTCAAGTGCTTTTACTATAGTGTTCTGAGAGAAAATGAACAGGCATGAAATTTCTCCATGGTTACTTACTATTCCACCACAGCCACTTTGTCAGAGACAGCACCATAAACCATGCTGATCCCTTCATTTTTTATAAGAAAGCAAAATAAAATAGCTTGTGCCCAGATGGTGTTATTTATTAAGTGATTCCTAAGTGAAATTGAGTATCTTCATGAAAAGTTCACTATGAATTTATGATGAGATATTAAATAAGTTTCCCACTGTATCCTGATGATGGACCTTTGCAGCACCATAGGCACTGAAGGAAAAATAGTCTTTAACTTAACATGCATAAGTCATTACCAGTCATCCTTGTGGTTGTCTCAAGCAGTGCTTCCGTGTTGGAATGGCTTGGCTTCCACTGGCTCCAATCCTGGTACTGTTTTGTGTGTTCAGAAACTTGTGGAGTGGTTGAAACTGTGATAATGATGATTGAAGCAATTAGGAACATATTATTTTTGAGCCTTCTTCACTTCTTTTGCACATGTCTCCTTCTGTTGTCTGTACGACTCATCTATACGAGGTTGTATAGATGGCTGTGTGGAAATGACGGAAGCACAGAGCGACTTCTACTCGTGGTCAAGCATCTCAGTGTCCTTCACATTTGGTCACAGAGTACCTTGGCGTTCAGAACATGAGATCTTCTGGGAAAAGCAGTCGAAGAAGCTGGGGCAGCAGGAATAATAGTTCTGAAAATATCAGCCCTCCACCAAGGATAATGAAAGACACCAGCGTTTTGTTCATCCATGCAGACTAGAGTGGCCCTCTGCACTTGAAAGCCCAAGGAACTGGAACCACTAGCAAGAACTCTACCTGTAGATCCTTTGGCTAAAGAGGTTAACAACTGAAAATTATGCCACAATAATCCCTACTCATTGTAATTTTACTAGGGACAGAAACATCCCGAGCAGCCAGAGCGCTCCCCTAGATGGTTCTGAGAAAGAATATCTACCTAGAACTTCCATACAGCTTAGGGATATATTTCTGAATATTTATCAAACATCTATAGTATTCTTATCAAATATAAAGCATATTAAGAGCAAGCCATTCACAGCCAACCAAAGAAAAACCAGGTGCAAACATTCAGGAGAAACAGGCCAGGGGTAACCAACCACCATCAGAACACCACAGCGAAAACAAAAGAAGTATGCTTCCACCAGTGCCCTGATATCTCACCCAAATACTAGGGCTAGAATAGCAGAGACAACTAACAGAAGGATCATGACAAAATCAAAGCCTGCGTCTTATCTGAAAAGTTACTTGCACACCAACCTTCTTTCAGACTTTGATTTTATACTCAAATAATACAAAATTATTTCCCAAGTCAAGTAAATCGATCTAGAATTATTAACCACATTCTGAAGAAGCATGACATTGTGAGAAATATACAACTGAGACAAAAACAAAACAAGACCAAAAACAAAACAAAACAAACCCCCCCCCCACACACACACACCATACAGGAGTCTGGGGATATAGCTCAGGGTTACAACACCTGCCTAGCAAGTTTGAGGTGCTGAGTTTGATTCCTGGCCCAAAATGAAATAAATAAATAATTTTTTAAAATGCTGAATTTCTCCCTAGAACCTGACCACATGGCTTATTTCCAGGTTGACCTTTTGAGTCACCTCCCAAGGGAGTTTAGCTCCCCAACTTGCAAGGCCTCATCTTTACTGATGGGTTCACTTCACTACACAGGAGAGTATAGTCCAGCTCCAGTATTTTGGCTCATTTTCATTCTGAAGTTATGAAAAACAGTATAGACTGAGCTCCACAGAGGTGTTCAGCCTAAAGAACACATCACTTAAAAGTCTGCTTATAAACGATTAAGTTTATCTGGAGTATATTTAAGTCATATACTCAGATGGCTTCAAGGACAACGCTAATTTTTTTTTTTAATTTCTTCTACCTTGGATGACGCTTATTTGGGGATTAAACTCTCAGGTTTCCATGAGACAGATACAGCTTCTTAGATCTGAGAGTTGACATAGCACCCCAAGTGCTTTTCTCTAAGGCAAAGCAGAGTTGTGATACAGTCAGATTCAGTATTGTCTCCTTTGTCTAGCAAAATCTGAGGTCACTATACATATGTGTAGGAAACATAGTCATTTGTATTAGACCAACTCTTGTGTTTTTAAACTTCTCAAAGAATATTTTAGTTTAATTTCTGACTCTTTGTGCTCACAGATTCGTAGTGACACTATCCTGCAGTGTTTTTACTATTTGCTTTCCATAATCAGCATTGGCTTGTTACAGTTGGTCTGACACTCACCCTCCCTTTCCATACATTTCTGCTATCTTGGTACCCAGCATGTTTGTTAAAACTCTGAGTTTGTCCCTTTCACTATAACAGGGTTTAACTAACTAAGACAATTCTTGAAGTCTAGCTCTCACCTTTCCTGAACCTTCTTAGTCCTAGAAACTTAGAATCATCTACAACTTTTAATTAATACCCTCCTAATCACATTCTCCAAATTATTGCTTCAATAGTTCCTTTAGGCAAAAACTCTGGATTTTTTTAACTTTTGTGCATGGAGCACCTAGCACAGCAGGTGCAGAATGAATATTTGTTACACTGTTTTGCTATATGTTCTGTAAAGAAAAGAATCTACAGTAGCCGAACTCATTGACAAACTAGAAATACCATAAAGTGTTCAAAGTTTTGTGAGATAATTTCCCCACTTCTCCTCCAAGTATGTTTTGGTTTTTATTAAAAAGCACCTTATTACTTCCTCTACTGTCTCATCAAGGTTCATACCACTAAGGCATAATTTTTCACATTAACTATTAAGAAAGTATTAGGTACCACTTAGATTAATCAATATGCTTTGCACACAAGGCTCTACTGTAGTTGATTATTCTTACTGGTACTGGAGATAAAATCTTCATCATCATCAATGCCTGATCCAGAAAAACTGAGGTGTTTGTCTCTGTCCTCCTCATTTTCTTCACTGGGCTCCCAGCCTGTTGACACGGTATTTGAATCCGTACCTGTTGTAGTGACTTACATTAGTAGCTGAGCTGGTTGCCAATGAACCCATTTGTCAAAAGAAGATAGGCACTGAGGGTATGACAGCTCCAAAGATTTTAAGAAGAAAGTGAAAGAGTTGAGTTGTATATTCCAATTTCTTAGGTCCTTGTCTTTGAAGTTGATAAAACAATTGGCTATGATCTTTAGGATTGAACATTCTTTTTTAAGGAAGCCAAAGAAATAAATATGAACATAGCCTGGCCATACAAACAAAACAAAGGCAATGGAAATTTACTCATGCTTTCATATGCATTTCTTATTAAGTCATTAAGTATACTCTATTAAGCCCAGGATAGCAACAATAGAAAAGTTTTATATCTACCTATTTGCTTAGTCGAGACACTTTCAGAAAAAAAAAATTGATATATTATCCCATGTCAATCACTTTAGAAATCCTAGCCAGGCATGGTTGTGAATTCCTGTAATCCCTGCACTAAGGAGGCTGAGGTAGGAGAATAGTTATGAGTTCAAAGCCAGCCTGGACTATATAGTGAATTCAAGGCTAGCCTGTACTACATATTGAGATCTTGTTTAAAAAAAAATCCTGAAGTTGCATCCATAATTTGCTAATTCATTGTTTGAACTTTGTACCAAATCACAATGGCTGTAAATCCAAGTGAAAGGAATGCTGGATTTCCAACAATACTTTTATATAGAGAAAACAAAACCAAAAAGTTATTCAATTAGAGAAAATATTCCTAGTACTTACTAGTCAACCAAAAGTGTTAATGAAAGTGGACTGACTAGTCCAGATCATAAGAATTTTCATTCTTTTCTTTTGAATGCAGTCATAATAAGCGGCATGGAAACCATCTCTTCTCAGTGGTTATTGCAGAAAATATCTCATTACCTAAAAGGAATTTCCTACCTTTTGTATGAGATTTAGGTTATCTTACAGGATGACCCTTTGTTTTTATACTATTAGTGCCCAAGAATAATTACACCAATGGAGAGTGTATGTATTTCATTGGTTCTAGTTATGCTATTTTATTTTCTCATCAGAAAGTCAAGTTTTTATAATTTTGTAATTTTAGAATGTGCATAAGCACTCTTTGAAAGCTGAAGATTTGCTTCATTATCAACGCCTGCTCCTTTTTCCTCCTCCTGGGCTCTCTTAATCCCACAGAATAGAAAGGTGAAAATTGCATACTAGCAGGAAAATATTAAACATACAGATCTCTGAGCCAATGGTCCTTCTTAAATCATCACAAACATTTGTGAGATCGGGATGGACATTAGGCTCTAGTAATGTTCCATAGGTTATTGAGAATTGTTAAAGACTATCAAAGAACATATAAGGTGCCCATAGCTCATTACCAGCCATTTCTGATGTGGTGTGAAGATGACTCTTAGGCTCTGATGGTTGAAACAACCATGAAAACCAGTCCTGGGTTTCTTGCCTCTTGGTTGTGGTTTTGAGAGTTGCACCGCTCGTGCCCATCAAAGCTGTTGTGACCATGATTGAATTGATTGTTGAAAGGTCATTTGTGAAGAAACATTAAAACAAGTTAAATGGTAGAGTGCTGAGTTTTTTTTTCCTTCTTTCAGAGATGGTTGTTTAACTAAGATTTAACAATGGGAACCCTTGTGAGCATGCTCAGTTATCATTGTGGAGAACCAAGAGGGCCTCTAACTGTAACAATGTTCATGGTTGTGATGTGCTTTTTTTTTTAAATAAAATTTCAAATGTTTATAAAAAAAAAAAAGAAGTTCCTAAGAAATAGCATCATAGATGCTTTCACTCTTTTACTACTTAAGGGAATCATCTATATGCAACATAGATGGCAGAAGGCAAGAGAGAAGGCAAAGAAGTTCTATTTAGTAGAGAGGCCCAGACTTGTGTTCATAAAATGTCAGAGATGGAAGGACCAAAAATATCACCTGGCTCATGCTCCTCATTTCAAAAGATGAAGAAACAAAACTATGCTGCACAAAGCTTCTAATTTGTCCAAAATCTGAAAGCTAATCAGCCACAGAGAGGCCTCAAGCACACAGCATGAGAACTATCTTTAAATTTGAAAAGTCTGTAATGTAAAAAAGGAAGCAGTTTTTGTCTCATCTCCCAGGAGGCCCAGTGAGGTCCTATTCTTAACATTTTCAGGAAGATGGATGGTCTTTCCTGTATTAGATTGTGAAAAGCAATAATCTGAATTATCCGACAATGAACTTTTTGATAGAGTATTATGTTTCCCACTATCAGTGAGATCATTTGGCAGGAAAGTTGTGTAAGAGATTAAACGATTAGAAGTGCTGACTGAATTGGTCCACTTAAGATCCGCTCCATATCTGGGCATTTATGACTCTCAAATTCAGCTGTTCAGAATCCCAGCCCCTTGATCTTCTACACAGTGTGTCTTGGCCAACCCATATCATTCTCCGAGAATTCAGGATATGATATTTCGGCCAGAAATCACAGACTCATGATCCCAGAAATCCCAAACACAAGGTGGAATGACACAAGAAGTCCGTTAAAGAAGATGCCTTCCAAGTTTCGCCACTTAGACTCCAAATCCTCCAGCACACTTGCCCCAAAAACCCAGAAACAGGGAGAGGTGAAATGATCCCATAATCCCACTGATAAGATCAGAAGCAAGAGTCTTGACTTGAAAAATCTGCCATTTTGCCATGATAAATATGCACTAGGAGAATATTAGGTAATAAAAGATTTTTTAAAACTAAGAACAAGTTCAGACAGACACTGAAACCATCAACCATCATTAAATCCCCACATACAAGACTAAGATAGTTTTTTTTTTATTAATTATCACGAAAGGCAAGAAGAAACATGGCCAGTAAAGCTTTTCTTTCACATTATTTGTTCAATGAAGAGAAATATTGTAAACACTTAAAATAGCATTTCCTTTATTCTAAAGTCTCTCTCCTCCCACCTCTACCACAGCGGGATCTTAATTATGCTACACTATGGCAACCACAGCATAACATCATTCTTTACATAATTATTTGTAGAAGTGAAGGATAGCCAATATCTTCTAAGATAAATAAATTTAAAAAACCATTTTCTATATTTATTCATCCTCTTCCACAGAAAGAGTGATTCGTTATTTTGAAATATGGCCACATCTTCCATCAACACAATTTAACAAATGAAGATATGCTTGGAATAGCCCATTGTTAGAGATTGAATCTCCTCTTTGCACTTGCCAAGGCTCCCAGATCAAAGCACTTCAGGAATTTAGAGACAACAGTCAAATGTCCAAGAGCTTCTTACTGTCCTGGATGCTGATGTAGACAAGCAACAGGCCATTTTTATGGTATTTTGTGATAAAGGTTGGATGTGTCCAAACACCCATCCAGGGTCTAACCTCTCTATCTGTAAATTAGCCTTCCTTTTTTTATTACTGACCATATAGCTAAGGTAGCAGAAAGTAGGTGTGTGCATCTGCTAAGAAGATTCTTTCTAGAGGACGTGTTGTGAATTAAACTGGTGAAAGCCTCTAAAGGAAAAATAGTACTGACTCTATTAACCACTGCCAAAAAAAGAAAAAGAAATTGGGTCAATTAGGAGCATTCAGGCATATCCCCAGATCTATAGGCATCTGTGATAAACAGAATGGTACTGAACAGTACTCCTATTTGATGCTGAAAAAGCAGCATTGGGAAACACTGGTGGAATGATAGATATCTTTTCCTTTAACACTAAACAACCTGGCATTCAGAACACTTGATAAGCAAAGACATAACAGTTTACCTGTTGTTGCTGTTGTTGTAAGATCCTGAGTCTGAGGCTGTGAATTACCAAACCAGAACCATATCCAATTACTTTGCTCCTGAGCTGCTGTATGGCTGTTTGAGGTAACTGGATCAATTATGAAAATATCATTTAGTAACGTTCCCCCTTAACATCTACTTTCCATTCAGTCTATATTTAATAGCTATGTGTATAATAAAGATTAAAGTCTTTCCAGCCTCCTAACATCTCCAGGCATTCTAGGACAGTAACACCTGTAGGTATCAACCCAATGCTTCTCAGGCTTCAAACTGAATCCCCAGAATTCAGTATCAGAGCAAAATCAACAAGCAACTTAAGGGCTGGTGAGATGGCTCAGTGGTCTAAAGCACCTACTTAGAAGAAGCTTAGCAGAGCACAGGGACCATGGTTCAATCCCCCAGCACCACATGCCAGCCAGCCCCGCCCCCTGGTGGGCTGGGCTGGCCACACACACACACACACACACACACACA